TTTGGGCACGCATACGGTGCTGCAGGTATATTTAGGTGTACCTCTTCGGGCTCTTGGATACCTTTTTCTCGTTATATGTGTGCGTGTTCTTGAGATCCTCAGATGGCTCTAGCACTTTCGTGACCACGGGCTGAGAGTTTTTGCTAGATTTTGGCATTTAGCAACTGACATACGGTTTAATGTGAAGACAACAACAACAACAACAACAACAACAACAACAACTGCTGTGATGAACAACTCTTCGTCTTAGGTCTCAGGACCATTACCCCTAATGGTACTACTCCGGGGTTTTCCGCCGGTCGATACTGACAGGGGTGATACGTTGCCATCTGGAAAGAACACTACATCCAGTACATGCCGGGAAGACGGGCGTCACGGAGTATGGATCGCTTCTTATACATCGTTTGTTTGCAAACCGAAAAAAGTGGCAATGCCCTCGCAAACAAAAGCACGCTGTCTGTCAAGATCCTGCATAGACTCGTCATGTCCGGGTATGTATGCACTGCAGTGGGTGTGTGTTTATGTCGTTTTTATAATGGCGACAGCCCCCCCATTTTCCTCGGTGAGACGTTTGTTTGTTGTTGTTGTTGTTGTTTCTCACATTAGCTCTAAAACCCGGCATACACGACCCCACGAAGAAACAGAAAAAAATGTGTACTACACTTGTTCAGAGAATGTAAAGTACTACACTTACTTGTCAGTGTAACTTTACGTACAACTACAACCGTTCAGGGTTACACAGGAGGGGGTAAACACCAGGGCTTTTTTCTTCCATGTTCAACAGTTTTTTTTGCGAAAAGTGTGGCCCGTTAGGGGTACGCTTTTTGTTTTGTTTTGCAAAATAAAAGCTGTTTAGAGGGATCGTGTGTGGAGTATGTGCGCACGAGAAAAAGAATGGTTTTCATGCCCAGGGGTGTGAAAACTTCGCAATGACTGTCTGTCTGGTGTCTGTCTGGTGTCTGCGCGCCCTAAATACCCAGCAGACTCGAACCCACATCACCATCTCGGCACCAAATTGCAAATTAAAACTTGCGCACAACAAGTAATATTTTGCCCGAGGTGTCCCAACCGCTACCTTTGCAATCCGTGATCGGTGTCTCGAGATAGCACACCGTTTGTGCAGATATATATGTCACACGGGCGCATCCCCGGGAGGCCGTATTTTTGTTTCTTTTTGGGCAACAAACTACACGCACGCAAGAAGGAACCACGAAGCACTGCCGCCGTGCTGCACACACTGCTGCTGCTACTGGCAAGACACGCACTACACAGAGACAGGGAACATGGACTAGAGGGGCGGGACACANACCTTTGCAATCCGTGATCGGTGTCTCGAGATAGCACACCGTTTGTGCAGATATATATGTCACACGGGCGCATCCCCGGGAGGCCGTATTTTTGTTTCTTTTTGGGCAACAAACTACACGCACGCAAGAAGGAACCACGAAGCACTGCCGCCGTGCTGCACACACTGCTGCTGCTACTGGCAAGACACGCACTACACAGAGACAGGGAACATGGACTAGAGGGGCGGGACACACACACACTCATACTGCTGTTGGCGACGGCGGAGGAAGCGGGGAACGTTTGGTTGGTATGGGGTTCATCGCTGATGATGTTGTTGCTGTTGTTTCCGTTGGTTGTTAACTGTTGTTGTTCAACGCTGCTGGCCTTTTCGCCTATTCTTCTCTGGAGAGAGAGGGAGTCCCACCAACCAGCGCGTGTTGCACACACCACACAGCGAGAGCGGGACGGGAGCAGGGTGTGCCCTATACTACTGCTGCTGCTAGCTTTCGGCGGAGGAAGCGAGAGGAGAGATATTGANATAGCACCCCCTCCTCACGGCTGACGATGGACACCACCCCCGCCTCTAGCGAATGATGATGGATACCACCCCCCTCTCTAGCTGGTGATGATAGACCGCCCCCCGTTCTTCTGTAACAGACGCACGAGCCTACTGCAGGTACTTTTGTTCAACCACCACAAAAAACTATTCCACCTCCAACTCTAGTATTTATTTTCATGCCCCACCTCCCTCCAGCGGTGCGTGCTGAATTTTACTTTTATCGCGGGAAGGGTCCAGCCGTCCCTTTCCATCGTCAACGGGGCTAACGTTGACATTTGGTACGCACGAGAGCTTGTCAGCTTTGTTTCGCTTTCACCCGCAGGGTTTGCAATTTGTTTCACCCCGTAGGGGTTCGAACTCACGACCTCTGCGACTGGCGGTTTACGAGGATACCACTAGACCACCGGGGCGACCGGTATAATAGTGCCGGTGGCCAGTGTAGATCTGCCGAAATGCAGACTGCTGCTCTGCTGTGGAAACTCGCTGTGGAATGGGGTCATTCGATGTTTTGCGCTTGCCACACCGCACTACTGCACCGGTGGTAGGGTTTCGGGGATACCTCTGCAATCGACGTAACTGAAGCAATAGACTTCCGCATTGCATGCAGAGAAATAACGTCATCCGTCCGGAATTATGCGTGTGGTGCTTGTGGGTCGGTTGTTGGAGACCGCGACGAGCTTGGAGATCGAGAAAGAAGTTGCCCTATTATAGGATTGAGACAATTTTTCGAAAATACCTCTGGCCATTTTCAACTGATGAGCAACCACACCACCCGCGCTTGGCTTTGCGAAATGTGCTTCTCCTGTCCTGGTTGCTAGAGGCCACCGTACGATATTTTCCATACTTCTCTAATATAATCATAGTAGCGTAAGCCGGCCGTTCGGGTAAGGCGGGGCGGATACCGGGAGGTAACATGATGTACTGACAAACACCATGGCTCGAATATCGACGAAGATGCTTCGTACGAGCTGCCGGCACTGTAAATCCAGAGTAATGGTGGAACGTTCGTTTTTGGTACTTCGATATGAGTCCGATCTGTGCATCCTCTGTGGGGGATACGCGTATGGGAACAATGGGTGTGATGGGTATGTATGCGGTTGAGGTCCAAGTGCGGTCCCCCCGGTGAGCACACAGCGGTGTACTCCCGGCACTTGCCTGAGGGGCTTGCTTGTCAGATATGAAAAGCATGGTTCTTTTTCATCTGCTGTTCCTGGGATAACATAGCACCCAGTCTCAACACCACAGACCGCTAAGGGCGGCAGTGAACAAGGTTGACGACAATCGTGGTTGAAATTCTTTGAGTAACAGATAGCCATACATCAGGAAACAGACACAACCAGTGGATATGTCGTTGATCTCCGGTTGTGGGTGCAGTATTTGTTAACAAATCGTCATACTTCCTAGGAATCGTCAGCCTTACGGGGTATTAACCCTTTCGGGTCTAGGCTAGTCGCCGGCCGAAAGCGTGGTCCGTCATCCCCATGTTCCGTTTCGATTCATATTTTTTTTTCTGAAACCAAAAAAAAAAATATGAGGGGTGAGAGCGAGACGGAGATAGCGAGAAGTACAGCAAAACAGCCCGCTGTACTTCTCCACACGCAACAGCTATCTCCACCTGTAGGCAATGAGGGTAGCCCGCGACAGGGTGCTGGCCGAATATAGGGTCATAGAAGGGTTGGTGCGTGGTCGCGGTGCGGCGAATAGGGCAGGTTAGCCTTGTAGACTTTGCAATGATCAGTCGTCAAGGTGCCTCAGCAACTCTATTTTCAGCATATTCCCCACCTATCAGTCAAAAGGCGCAAAATGATCATTGAAGACCCATAGATAGTACATGTACTTCTTGAACTTGTCTGTCCCCACCCAATGTGAGCCCTGCCACCTCTCTAGAGCTCCTGTAAACACAAAGCACACGAGCTAAAGCAGCAGTAGTACCTTACACCGCCCCAAGCTACGGAGCAAGCTATGGAATTGCCAGCACCCGACGTCGAGGCGTACAAGGCCGGCAACACACGGCCTGCCACGATCATGGTGTCTTTGATCGCCAACAACCCACCATCGGAAGATGGCACAAACAACAATCTGGCACGTGCTTTCGCCTTCGAAATTGCCGCCGCCGTGGGAGGGGAGTATTGCGATCACTTGACCGAGCCCGAGCCCATGCCCAGCATGGCCCCTTCAGCTGCCAAGGTAGCTGCTGCCGAACACCCGGGTCTGTGCGGCGTGTACCACGCCCACATCTTAGCTGCCGTGAAGACCCAGGACGTGCAAGCACGATCGGGCTCAACCGCGGGGAACAAATACCGCAACCAAGTGAGTGCTTGCGTATGAGAGGGGCGGGTGTTGTATAAGGAGCACGAAGCGAAGAGAGAAAGGAGAGCTTTGCTGGCCGTGGTAGATATGCATGTAGATACGTTTCAACAGCCCCTGCTGTGCTGCAGGTTATACACTGACATGTTAGTGAAATAACTGCCACCTATTCAGCCGTGCAACAGACAAGTACAGCAAGTACTATAGTCACGTGTAAGCATGTAGGTAAATAACGACTCCTTCCTTCCTGCTGCTGCCCGCGAGTCGCTGTTAGAGGAAGCGCCTGCTGGGCGATGTGTCGTGGCGGTGTATGTGGAGTACTGCTGTGCGATGTTCTGTGTGTTTTATGTTGTTGGCCTTCTCCCTTATCTGTGCCCTACTCTTCGAAAATGGCTGTCTGTACGGGTGTCGGCGAATATCGTGAATGCACCCGTCACGACGCTAGGAAGTTGAGTTGGAAGTGGCATGCCGCCTTCAAACGCCAATATGCCCACAGCAGCATGGCTGATGGGCACACTCCTCGCCTTCTCCGTCCATATGAATGTGTATGCAAGTGAGGCTCCTGTGACTGATGCGTGTATTTCGGTCAACGCATGTAATGCCACAGGCTTGCTGTGACGGGGCGATCACCATGAACGCTCGAGGGAGGGGTGCAGCTCAAGAGGGCGGAGTGCTTCACGCACGCTTTGCCGTGCGTTGTGGCCTGGAAACGAGGAATTGGAAGCCTCCGTGGTGGAGGCGTTCTCGTGCTAGAGGCGGCAGCCGTCCTCCGCAAGACCTACTACCTTGACATGTTGGCGTGTTGCAAAAAAATACCATGTAGCTGTGGTGTGTTCGACGTTGTCGTGGCTGAAGGCACAATGCTGTTATGTCAGCATCAAAGCGTGATGTTGTCGTTGGTCATCCTTTCAATTTGGCTCGTTGTTTTTATCGCCTCAATAATGGTCTCGGGAGTGCCGTGCTCCTGTGGGGTTGCCCAAATATTGGACCTAGGGTTGGGGGGTGCCGAGAAATACCGCCCTGTCTTGATTTGTGCTTGGAATGCCCCGTCTTGATTGGTTCTTCGATTGGAGAACAGGATGTTCACGGGAAATTTGCCTACTTGAAGCCTATGTGATGTGTTGGAACACGCCGGCCTTCGCGTGGTTGTCTTCCCTCCCTCCGCATGGGTGGTACCCGTCGCCAATGTTGTGAAGGTTGCAACAGTCCCTGGTGACTACACCCCGGCCTGTAGTAGGGTACAAAGACCGAAGCACAATTTCGATGTCTCAGTTGTTTGTGATTCATTGTGTTGGGCTTTGTTTGGGAGCTAGTGCGAGCGGGAGCGATCGGCTCCCGCTGGGGGTTGTCTTTGCCCGACATGACGTCAGCGATGTCTGGTGAGGGGGGGCTTTATCTTGGGCTGTTCACGGTATTATCTACCTCATTCGGGAAGCTTCCACCCTTGTTGAGGTAGTTGGCCTGTGACCACGACAGGCGCACGAGCCAGACGGATGTTCGCCGGTACTGAGCGGAGGCTGCAGCATCAGCGTTTTTTTTTTTTCAATACTACAACAACCAAAAGCGCGGCAACCACGCGAGCTCTCGCACAAAAAGCCGTAGGGTAGGGAGTGTTTGTGCAAACGTTGACGAGGCATGAAACGTGCATGCTCGTTCAATCTGGCCATATCCATCGCCACGAACGGCACAGCGCACAGCAAACTTTGAGCGTTCATGCTTTGCACACACATGCAAAACAGAGGGTAGGCTGTACCCGCGAACCATGAAAGCACAACATGTGTGTTGTGTGTTCCATCAAGATAGGCCGTTCTTTACATATGTTTTTGCACAATACAAATAATTTTATTGTTGGCGTTTGACATTCGCCCCATCGATCTAGCAGCGAACGATACTTCACCTAATAATCATTGCGTTCGTCACACTTCGAGCGCCGAAACGTTGATTATCAATATTGACCTGCGAACTTCACAGGCAGCAAACTGCAAACCCAAGCCGGAACATTTCTGCCGTGGCAGCCGAGAAGCACTGAAAAACTGGTTCATCGTTGTACATACCAACCTCGCGATAAGTCGTGGTAATTCCTTCTGTTACTCTGCAAGCCATCAGAAAATACGAACCCCCGTACCGGTCGACATCCCTATCCATGTAAAAATGACCACAATTGGCCGCCCCACGCCTGGTTCAATTCCATATCGTTACAACAGGGCTGTGTTTGCCCACATACTGCCACAAGGAACCCCCCCCCCGATCGTATTCTGAAGGCGGCGACGCCTTCCTTGCTGGTACTTCACTGCACGTGCCTAGAGCACACGGAAAAACAACAAATTATTCCGGCGTCGCTTCCACCCAAGAGATTGGCTTGTACTTTCTCCCGGTGGCCCATTCCCTAGCGGCAACATGCGCTTCCGGTACTTTGTGACACTTCGTGCACAGGATCAACGCCCGGTCCTTGCCCAACCCATTTGTACAAATATCACACCAGCATGCCCCTCGAGTTCTAGTCCCAGCGTACGGGCTGCCCGGGGGGGTCTTACAACCCCTCCCATGACATACACGGGATGAACATGCGCCGTTCACGAGGTACGACTCAGAAGGTTTCGTCGCGCGCCTCGCCCCATTCTCGGTGTGTCCTACATTGCACAAGGACATGAGGTGATTCGCGAGCCTACGGTCCCAGTCAACACGCTCCATCTTCATGGCCTTCTTGAGTAGGGTTTGAAACTCGCGGAGCTCTGCCACCGTGAGGTCGCAACTGTCCGCCGCCACCCCTCCCTCTTCTGCCTCCCCGGCGTCACCCATCCCCCCGTCTTGGGTCGCTGCCTCCAACGCCGCCGTACACTGCGTGACTAGCACCCCAGCCCACTCGTAAAACAGGAGCCACCCGTTGCTGACAGCTTGAGCGAACTTTTGATCGAAGACACGCCTCCAGAAGAACGTCATCGGCCTGTGCTTGTGGGCGTGGGAGCCTAGCCGCTGGTCCGCGACGTCGACGCCACCCATGTTCTTGACATACTCCTTGCGAGCTAGTGGCTGCCTGCTCGACACTTTCTCGCCGTTGTTGTTCGCAGCTCGCTTCCTGTGAACATACGAAAAAAAATAGATCGGCGGACGTGTCAGGTTGATCGGGAAAAAAAGTACGGTGGGTGATGCACATGTAACGGTAGCCCGTGCTGCAGGCGAAACAAACTTTCAATCTCACCATGGAAGGCATTCACCTCCAGCAAAGCATGCCCCCCCAAACCGAACTATATTTCCCCCACTGATCATGCCGTACAACACACCGCCAATTTGTTTGGGAGAAAACCATGACAGCAATTAATCTACGCATCACTTTGTGGGGGCGACACGAACGGTACACAACGAGTGGGTGCAGATCCGGGAGAAACTATCATCGCGGCGTAATTTTGCGGTTGTACTCACTCGTAAGCGAGAGGTTCCCACTCGTCCGCAAATACATGCTTCGTCGACATCAGGTACACCTCCTGGGAGTCGATCCACTTGACGATCACGAGCTCGTCCGAGCGGGCCGTCAGCATTTGCCCACGCTCCGTCGCCGCCATGCCCTCCTTGGCCCAGAGGTAGTTGGCGAGCTCCACTCCGATGCGGTTGCCGCGTAGAGTCCCGACGGCGAAGATGTCGCGCGTAGCGAGGCATCGCAGCAGGGGGGCTCCCGTGAAGAAGTTGTCCATGGCTACCGTAATACCCTTGCCGATGATCTTGTTGGAGAAAGTCTCGCACGCCTCGAGTAGGACGTACATGACTGTGCGTGCCGACCGCCCAAGGGGGCAACTCGCATACGGCCTCAGCTTGATGTCGCCGCTGAACCCGCCGTCGATGCTCTGGACGAAGCAGTAGCCGGAAGGGCAGCAAATAGCCCAGCATTTGATTCCTGTGCGGGAGCCGACGAAGAACGAAAAAAAAGCAAACGGGCACGTGAGCTGTCTTCATTGCTCCCTCACTGTCCAATGTCAAAGTTGACACAAGCGGTGCACTTCAACATTTGTTTGACACACCTCCTCGAATCTGTACATAGTTCAATATTTCCATTTAGTGTTTGGCGTATTGTGCTTGCTTACGTCCGTACGGATGAAAGCTGCGAATGGACAATTATTTTTTCTGGTACTTTAACTCTCGACAGAGCACTGTGTAACTACATCGAGGGTGCTTGACTAATTTCAACACAACGCGGTGTGATCATACCCTTTGCGCTGAGTGAGGGTTCTCGACTGCGCACAACATATTCTACTCGACCACCCTCACGGTTGTACACCAAAAAAACAAAAAAAAGGTGAAAACGCAATGATTTTACGCAATGGTCTGGGAACCGATGATGCAACCGACATGAGACACAAGGAATACAGCCCAATCCCCCCCCCGATCTACTCGGGTTTTCACTTTCAACCTCACCGTTCTTGATGGGCTTCGCCTTGTTGTACCTCATGAGCGCGAACATCACTCTCGCCGTGCTCTTAACCATCTGCTCGTCGTACGATAGCCATGCACCCGGTTCCACAAGCTCGCTCCAGCACTTGTTGAACACGTCCTCCAGCTTCCTGCCGAGAGGAGCGGATATTTATTGTGGTCACATTCGAACGAGTCATCGTACGCGGTCTTACAGAGGGCACACTTGCATTGTCGGGAAACATTATACCGTCGAAACACAGCATCTGCCGAGCTACCCGGCGTATTTTTGGGCCGTCGTAGTTATGGGCGCTTCACGCTCCGACAACGACACACACTTTATGCCAAAGAAGCTGCCCGCGGGCCAGAGGGGTCCGTTTTCATGCACTTCATATCTTAGGCCGTCGTGCGTAAGGGGCGGAGCAGGCAACACATCCGAGGGAAAAAAACCCGTAAAGTACACGTTATCGGGCATACCTGATGTGGTGTTTGCAGTCGTACTGGGGGTCGTCCTTGTTCAGCTTGCCGGTGGCCGGCGCCAAGTTGAAGAAGCGGCCGTAGAACAGGACAAACAGGTCTGCTGCTGCTGCTGCTGTTGCGGCTCGCGCGACGTTGTCCGCAGCTGCTCCGTCAACGGTCGTGCCGGGGTCCGTTGTTATTCATGCCGACCAGAGTCTTGCGATTTGAGCTCTTGGCTGGAGCAGGCTCCGGCGATGGTTGTTGCTGCTGCTCCCGCTGCTGCTGCTCCCGCTCTGCTGCCTCCCGCGCATTGCGCTTCGACTCCGCTATCCGCAGACGCATCGGTTGTCGCGGCTCACGCGTGGCCGTCCGAGCCGGCGGCGTGACCGGTGATGCCGGGTTGGGATGCTGCTGCAGCTGTTGTTGGTGCCGAGCTGCCCCCCTCGTGTTTAGACCGGCGTTGTGCGAGTTTGCAGCATACCGCACTCGGGACCTGGGGACTAGATCAAACTCGTCGTCTGAATCCCCATCATCGC